CTTTCGTTTTGAAGAAGGTATACGAAATCGTGAAGAATGGTATATAAAAGGTTAAGGGATGGGCCTCCGCAATATAAAAATTCAGCATTCGTGAAATAGCGTACACAGTCTCTCAAGAGACAATCTACGGATTCCAACAAATGCGTTGTCGGGGAGCCAACAACCACCACTACTGTGAGGGCAATGAATAAGAACCAAACCTTGCTGGAATCAACGCGGCCATTGCGGCCATGCTTGATTCAATCCGTTTGAAGTTACTTTTCAGCTCCATCATACACGAAGCGGTTTTTTGCTGATGGTATAATTCGGTGACTCTTATACGACTACTTTCTGTGACCCCATATACACATGCTTGTTTGTAACGCATATATATGGGCCTTTTTTTGTGCGCATTTATATGCGCGTTTGTAAGAAAATGGTCATATACTTGGGAATAAAAACCCTACAAAGCAGGAAAGAACGCAAGTATACGTGGCAAAAAACGCACGTATATCGTGTAGCAGGAATGATTGCAAGTATACGTGTCCATTGACGAATGGTACTCATTTCACATACCTTACTTAGAACTTTGTATCCCTTTAAACTGCTGGAAACCCGCACTGTCAAAAAAATAGCAATCAGTCACAAATATAGAACGCTTTTTCGACGGGTAAGGGGTTGGATCTCGGGGTGGAGCCTCCCCGTACAAATATTTTTTGAGTACCTCTCTGGGATTTCCGACGGAGCCTCCCCGTATAGGCCATCATAGGGAGTACCCTCCCTCCGGGCATAGCAGGAAATAATCACATTCCCGGACAAAGAAACTTACATGCATGCATGTAGTTATTCCGCAGATCCAGGATTTATGGAGAAAACCATAGAAACTAAAATCTTTATTTAGCCGTAATACTAAATTAAAGCTTCAGGCTTAAACAGAGGTCAAAGAAAATTAAAACACTTTACAACTGCATCTGAGGTCAACTCCTATCAGGAACAACTAAAGAATCATAAACCACAGGAAATGATTACTCAGTATGCATGTAATTCTCTGTAGTGCTAGTAACGTTAACTTTAACTTTATTATTCCATCGTTCATATAGTACAAACTCAGTAAAGCTAAAGCTGGAGGCTTATACAACCTGTGGTCAAAACGAAAGAAATTATTTTGTGTAGAAATGAAGACTGAAGGCTAAATTACAAAACTAAAACAAGATACTTGAAAACTTAAACTGCAAGCAGTCCTATAGCAGAGATAAAACTAGAAGTACTAATGACAAATAAACTAACAATAAACTATGACAATCCTGCGCTAATTCAATTCAGGCTTAAAAAGTAAAGTTTTAGTTTCTTTTTAAAGTCAGTGGTGGTAAGGCTGTTACGGACAGTCAAGGGGATATCAGTGGGATATCCTTGGCCAAATAATTGGGGCTTATAACTAATAGCAAATTGATACCTGAGGGACATTTTATGCAAGTTGAACGAGAACGAGTTAGATAACCATGAAAATCACGATTAAAGTGGAGGAGCAAGGAAAGAGAGGCAGGTGGGAGGCTATTAAAGTGTGAGAATACAAGACAAGAAACATGGAATTTATAGAGTGAATGGAGGGAAAGTAAAGAATACAAAACTTCGAGACTAGGAGGCTTAGAACGTGTTCGTGGAGGAGAAAAGGTGATAATTCGCGCGAGAGAAAGAAAAGAAGAAAACCGACTCTCGAGGTCATGTTTCACATTATCACGAGCTTATGAGTCGTGTTTTGCCTGTCGGACGCTAATTTCTAACTGAATCGATCGTTGTTTCGATCAGCATTTGTGAAATAGTGTACACAGCCTCTCAAGAGACAATTCACGGATTCCAACAAATCCGTTGTCGGGAAGCCAGCAACCACCACTACTGTGAGGGCAATGAATAAGAACCAAACCTTGCTCGAAATTAACGCGGCCATTGCGGCCATGCTTGATTCAAGCTGAAGTTACTTTTCAGCTCCATCGTACATGAGGCGGTTTTTTGCTGACGGTATAATTCGGTGACTCTTATACGGCTACTTTCTGTGACCCCATATACACATGCCTGTTTGTAACGCATATATGTGGGCTTATATACAGAAAAGTGAGGGCACGAACGTTTTCACACCCTGTGATTTTCCCTGGAAGTGTATGTACCAGGCCTACGAACAACTGTGATCAGCTCAAGTTAAAACTTCCTTACACACACTGCCACTAGATCTGTGATTAGGCTCAAAGGTAGAATCGAAGTGTTTAAATGGCCGGGTGATGATTGGTCGTAATTTCTTTTATGGAATAGTCTTCCCTAAACTAAGTGCCTAATTTGGTCTAAAAAAAACATACTGGAAGGTTTTTTCCGACAAAATAGAATGTGAAATAAAGGCCGCGATTATTTTAGAATTTTCTTTTAGCCAGAATTGGTTTTCTTGGAGGAATGTGCATTTCATTAAGAACTCAGAGCGTGCGAGAGCATGTGGGAAAATGGGAGAGGACCGGGGAGGACGTATTTCGCTGATAAATTTGCTTTACTGAATTTCATCGGAGACTGACTTTTTCATGAAAGCGAAGGGTTGTGTAAAGGAAGACGGGGCCTTTAAATTCTACGAGCAAGAGGCATGAGCTATCACGCACGACGCACGACGCACAACGCACGACCCACTACCCACCCACCCACGCCAATTAGTCAATCTCCTCTTTCGCCCGTACTTGAAAACTTTCGTTCCGCCTTTTCTCCCGACCCGACTGACTGCCCCTGGGTCTCCGAAGATGAATCAAGCTGAATGAATAGAGCACAATAGTTGTTCAGGCTTTGAAAAGCAAAATAGTTCTCGTTTAACAAAGAGACACGTACAGAAGTTCACGTGTTCTATTGAAATTACATGTCAGGTGTTCCAACATTTGTACACATGTCACTGCCTGCTATTTTGCTCTTGAATAATACGCACATTTCAGCCGCGGAGTTTTTGAAAGATACAAAAGAGCCAAAACTAGATTTTGCTGAGTAGTACAGATTATGGCTGTGACATTTATATCAATTTTTTCGGCTCTACGTATGGATTCTCAGTTTTGGTGTTGATAAGTTCTAGTGGAATAAGTTCGATGTCTGTAAGTTGGTGTCCAGTTTGATTGAAATGCTGCGGTACTGCATCGTCTTTAATGTATTCTGCTGGTGTGTTTGAAGTGCTCTTACTTTCCTTGTTTTCCCTGTCTTGTTTGATATTTTTTTTACAACAGGATTAGACTACTTGCAGTCCGCCTTTTCTCTAAAAACAGCCAGCGCGATTGCAAACCACAACGTCTCGGGTTTACGCCGTCGTTTATCCCGGCTCCGCCCGCCTGCTTGGGTTTTGCGTGCAGTAACTTTGCAAAAAAAAAATAAGAGACTGGGCGCAGTTTACTGAGCAGGATTAGTAGTCTGTCGGCACTCTTCCATTATTTGCGCGTCAACTTTCACAAATGTGTTTGCATGGCATTCTAGGCTAAATTTGACCAGCATTTTGTGCAGCGCGTTGTATAGTCACGATTGACTTCAAACTTGCAGATACAAAACTAGATAACTCTGAGAATTATTTTGTTAGGTTAGGAAAAAATCTGTCGTACAGGGCTCGAAGTTAACTTTTTAGTGCACTTGCAAAGTTTTGCTAGTAAGATTTTTTTCCACTAGCAAACTGGTGAGACCAATAGCAAATTCTTTCCTTTTGTTTGAGAGACATTGATGATTCTAACTCGAAAACGTTTGCTAGTGGATATTTTTTTCACTCGCAGATTATCAAAATCACTCGCATTTTGCGAGTTTGCGAGCGTCAATTTCGAGCCCTGTCGTAGGATTTCACTGAGTTATTGAAATTTATTGCAAAACTGTGATTATGCCGATATCTCAAACGTATTTAGGCCTTCAAGAAAATTAATAACATTTTCGTAAAGTTCGCCCTTTTTCCTTTAAGGATGCCAAACATCATAGAAATTGGTCAAATCTTTTCCGTTGAAAAATGCGATTAAAAAACACCCAACACTTATAAATACTGTTCAGGCAATAAAAGCGCTCACATAAGAATTTTTATTCCACACTTTATTTTAACCACTTGTCCTTTACAGATAATAGTTTGATTAACCTATATGGCTAGTAGCAGTTTCATCAAACAGACAAATTCAAAATCGGCGTAATTGCGTCAAAAATGACCATCCTCATAACTGAATATCACAATCACCGTAAACTGGCACAGCTTATATTTAGTATCTGTTCCTTCCCTTGCTCAGCTTAAGTCTTTTTAAGGCCACAAAACTATTCTCAAACTGATGGCGATAGATAAGAATTAGCGAGTCGCATATACCAGTTCGAACCAGTGAAAATGAAATCTTCAAATTAGCCACTTCGATTCTTTTGGGAAAGTTTTTCTCTAAACCAGTTGATGTTCAGTCACTTTGGTTGTCCCAGCTGACTTTTTGCAAGGGAACTCAGATTTTAATTCTAAATGAAACTTAACATAATATACTGTTAACTTATGACAAGTGACAAGGGCGGGGTATTAAGGCCCCGCGGTCCACACGTATCCAGATATTTTTGAATCAGCTCTCCAGAGTGGAAATTTTTGAATCCACTATGTATCCGCTAAATCCAGATATTTTTTTTATCCACTAATGTCGCAAGATCGAGCGCAGTTCTTTACCATGAATATTCATTCAAGACGGTCCGATAAAAGAAAACATTGCGGATTCAAAACATGCGGATACCAATCATCCTCGGGGCAGTTAGTCGGGACGATAGAATGTTCGTGGTGAAAGTTTACTATTTATTAGTACACTTTCACCACGAACATTCTATCGTCCCGACTAACTGCCCCTAGGTCTCCGAGGATGGATACCAGTGGACGGGTAAATTCGATTTGAATACTGACGCATACGTGTGGACGTGGAAATTTTTGAATCCGGACGGAAAAAGTAGCGGATTCAAAAATATCAGGATATGTGTGGACGGGACCTCAGCCTGACTTAAACAAATTTTTTCCACCAAGACTTTTACGGCTGAGTAAATATTTTCATTTCAATGGCCGCCTCACCGGCGGTGGACATAGAGAAATTTGCTCGGATCCCATTTTCCGAACGGCCTAGTTCCAGGTTCTTTGTATACCACCTGGGATTCCCTTGGTATTTGGTTGGATCGTTATACATCTCTTTCCAAATAACTTTGTCGGCGTCTCTTTCCCCTTGGTAAAGCTTAACATCAACCCTATTCTTGTACTTAAAGTAGTTAAATGGAACGGAAAACATAACAGCAAGTGTTTTCATGATGTCTGGGATGTAGCATGTGATTACTCCTTCCACGCCATATGTACTGCCCCTAGTTTTTCGTGCGCCGTAAGTCAAGTTACCTAGAAACAGGCACGCAAAAAATTAACAAGTAAACAAAAATCATAAACATGATTATTCGTCACAATGGTTCATGGCAATCGAGAATCACAGAATATAGGGGGCATGTACTCGAAACGAAACTTATACGAAGAATGTGTGGGATAATAAAATTTTTGCCACCCAGAAATTTCGTGTTGTTGATTGCTAATCTTTTCCCGAATATAACACGCAACCGGGTGATAAAAATATCTGCATATTTCATACTAGTTCGTTTAAAAAGCTCTTTCAACCCTTTAAGTCACATTGCCCTTTTCATTACAAAATCTTCATATCCCGTCATATTGACAAAGCAAAAGGTGAACTACAGTGCTGGTTAAGTATTAGGTTGCGTTCCTTTTGACCAATCTAAATGTCGGTTTTTGCAATATGAAATTTGATTTTTCATTCCATTAAGGACTAAGCCAATCTAGGATTACAATCTGAACGATCCACCTCTGCACTTGGATCGTTCACGGCAGGTCAAGGTTAGTTCGGGCAAACGTTTTTTACACTCCTCCGTTGTTCTATGCCACTAAAGGATTGTTGCATGTTAAACTCAAGTTCCACCGTAATTATAAATCCGTAAGGAAGCGAAAACACTTAGATTTTCTCACCGTAAAACTATAGTGTCCTATGTGTGTTTGGGTGTGTGTATGTGTGTGTGTGTGTGTGTGTGTGTGTGTGTGTTTAGAGCACGCTTCTCAGCACTTTCTTGAATCAAATTCCAGTTAAGTTGACGAGTCCCAGTATGAACCACCACTAGTTAAAGAGCAACGTTTTTTCCATTTCTCGACGAGAAGACGCTTAATTTAGCGGAAAGAAATGAAAAACGATTGAGAAGAAGATCAGAACAGCAGGCAGCTACTGTATGGATCAATCTTATTTCAGATTTTTGTTCCAGCTAGCACGAAAATCCAAACAATCTGGATTGTCTTAATCCGAAAAAAGTTTGGCTAAAAGGAATGCAACCTTAGATCTGGATGTTTTTTAATCCGCAAATTTTTCTTTACTCAGACCGTCTTGAATATTCACGGTAAAGAACTGGGCTCGAACTTGTGACGTGTTGAGTCTCGTAGTACATACTTATGGCTCCACAAGTTTTATTACACTCCTTTTTATTTATAAGTCTTATTTATAAGGCTGAATATTCTTGAATTATTCTTAATCATAAATTTTAGCTTATTTTAGCTTATATTGGAATCTCGCCTTAGAATGTCATGATTTGGGTTTCAATTACGACTTCTCGGTCGGAGACCATACCAATATTTTTCCATCGCATGAAAAGTCATTATCCTTGTCCGATCCCTATACAATTTTCACCAGTGATTGATCATGAATCACGGAAGTTTGTCAAAATGCAGTTTTAAGTAAAATCAGCATCACTATGATAACAATAGACAAAAAAGTTTCAAGTCGATAAAAGCCGAATTTTGCGCGATCTAGACCTGCTACTGAAAAATTAATCCGACACCAGGAACTTCAAGCCGGTATGGTGTTCAGCAAATAACCTCCATGGGAACGAATTAAAAAAAAGAATTTTATTCAATTGTTTACATGTAAAGCATTGACATTACTCACACTGAAAATTACTAGTCTTGGAGGTATGTATGGTCTGCATTGATTTGGAAATTTAAAATTAGCATAACTTCAAAACAGTAAATGTTGTAGCGCGGGTCAGGCTGGCCGGGTCAGGCTGTTTGTCTTTAAATTTCAAGGTGTTGCAGTGAATCAATCTTAATGAAAGTCTCAGACGTTATAATATACGTCGTGAAGATTACGTGATGAGGTTAAAAAAGAACTCTGTCGAGCCGTTATAGAGATACACGAAAAAACTCTAATTAAAAGTCACAATATAGAATTAAGTTGCACTTAGATAGATGGTGTGAAAACAGGTTAGTTTTCAGGATCGCAAAAAAGAAAATATTTCAATATCATATTTTGCATTAAAAGCAGTATTATAAAGCTACTTAAGTTTAATTTGAGTTATTTAGATTTTTCTCATTAAACAACTTATAACGGCTATTGTAGGAGGAAAATATAGGTTTTGAAATATGTTTACGTTTTATTTGAATTCAAACAAACAGAATTTTTTACTTCTCACGGAGGTTATTTGCTAAACACCACAATTGTTAAATTGTGGGTCTCTTCAGTAGCAGCAATTTACAGGTTACGATTTCTAGGGTCGGTATTTCTGTGTTTAAGGGAAGACCTAAAAGGAAAATCAGGCCCACTTAGAGACCTTTGTCTTTCCTTAAGCCCATTATATTTTCTTTTCTTTTCATTTCTTCTTTTTTTAAAAAAAGCGGGCCCGGACGGACAGTTATGTGTAGCCTTTGCATTTATACAATATCTGAAGGAAAATTTTACTGTAAGGTGTATAATATTTTGTCTGAGGACAGACATGGAAAGCAAACGATAACCTTTTTCGCTACTAATAACTATAAGCCAATCCTTCACTACAAATATAAACGTTAATACAGTAACTTACACTTTTTTTTATTAAAGGAAAAAAAAACAGACAAACTCGGGCTCGAAAAGCTGACAAGTCTGTCGTTAGAATAGAGGGAAACTCTTTCATATTTTAGATAAGCTCACTTTTTCAGCGAGAATAAAACAAACAACTGTAAACAAACGCAGTAAACTTCATTCAAGCGGTATTCAGCTGTATAGATTCAGGGCACAAGTTATGGAAAAAGAGCAGCACACTGCAAAACTGCAGAAATTCTTGTCTACACACTGCAAAATTCTTGAATGGCAATTAATGGATAAGAAAATGAATGGCAGTTCAATGGAATATGTACAAAACTGAACAACGCTTCAGTTTTAATTTAAGAAAGGGGAGTAGCCAGTCTGAATGTTTCTAAAAATCTCACGATTTTTAAGGAGATGTTACACGGAGCGATTCGCAACGACGATTTTTATTGTAATTGGACTTAAATTCATACATTTTCGCAAGGCATTTGATTCAGTGGATCATGAAGTTTTGCTCTACAAAATGCAAACCTGTGGCTTTTATGGAAATGCGTCAGTTACAATGGCTGGTCAGTTACCTGGAAAACCGTAAGCAATTTGTTGAACTATAAATGGAGTGAAATGTCAGTTATATTCTGTGTCACATGGAGTCCCACAAGGCTCACTGCTTGGTCCCCTCTTTTTTCAATATACGTAATTGACTTTGCAGAAGGCATATCAAATGGAGAACTGCAACCTTTGTGCGGACGATACAACTGCATTTGTCATTGGCAATTCGGTGGATCAAGTTATTCAACTACTAAATGTCTTACTCAAAGAAATCATTCAATTGTGTAGAGTAAATAAGCTAACAATTCACTCAGGGAAATGCGAGACCATGATCATAACAAGGCAAAGGTTCATTGGCGCTGGGTCTTCAGTAAATTAAGTGTGGTGATGTCCGTGCTTGATTTCACTGAGGTGGCTAAATCATTAGATGTTCTTATTGACAACAAGCTTTCATGGGAGAGCCATATTGATAAGCTTCATAAATCTTTTTCTGCCCAACTCAAAAGGCAAAAAAGAATGAAGTTTCTCCAGGTGAACAACTTGAAGATATATACCATAAAATGATTCTCCCAAATATTACATACTGCATATCTGTCTGGGGAAGCTGCTCTATGGCCCTCTTTGAAGATATCGAGAAACTACATACAAAAGCTGCTAGACAAATTCATGATATTCCCACCAATTATGCTGATCACCTGGTTCGTTAAATGGCATAACCTAGCCTATATTTCTGTCTGGATGTACAAAAAAGTACCTACAGACATTTAAAAGTGCTTTTTAACAGTTTGACCCTTGAGGTGAATAAAAGCAGTTGAAAGTCGCTAGTTACGACTTTAAAAGGACAAATTAATCGCTGGCAACGGACGAAAAGTTGCTCTTGCCAAAAGCGACAGATTTGTAACGAAATGAACAACATTTAAATGCACAGAAATAATGACCTTTCAGTCTCATCAATCTAGGAGGCTCATAGCCTTGCCCACGGCAAGCCTTGCCGTGCTACACGGCAGTAGCTCGACTTGGTTTCAAACGTCGTGCTACCGCCGCGCCGAACTCAATTCATAAATTATAACTTCATTAGAATATATTTAACAGTTTGCTAAACCGTTTCTTTATTTTTGTGTTTTGTTTTTGGCAACAGCCGTTCCATTCGACTGTCATTGTGTGAATTAAATTCGACGTCTGAAACCAAGTCGTGCTGCAGTCGAGCTACAATCGAGCCAGCTTAGCACGGCAGTAGCACGACGTTTGAAAAGGCCTTAATAGGAAATTTGAGAACGACGACGACGACTTTGCCGACGACGACCGGAAGTGAGTTACAGTGTACTGCGCAAGCGCGACCAGTAGATTTCGTCGTCGTGGTGCCGTCGACGACGCCAAACAAAGTAGAATCACGTCGTCCTGCAATCCACAAGCTTCGGCAGGTATAAATCCACTGTTTTAAGCGATTTTTGAAGTCCTTATCATTTTCTTATCCTCGTAAATCCAGGTATCGTTCCTTTTTCCGTGGGATGCCTGTGGTACTCCCGCGGTAAAAATCCGTTCGGTTGTACCCAAAATTGCAAATTTTTCATCTGTTCGGATTTCCTAGCTGAAAGTCTAGTGATCCGAAAATTATAGGGATCAAAACTTACCTTTTCGAAAATTTCAGCCAGAGAAAAGGCTCCCGAAAATTCTAGGTGACCTTTTTAGGGTAAAAATCCGTTGAAAATGGGCAATTTTACCATTTCTTAGATGTTCGAAAATCCTAGGAGAGGCAGGCAAGCAAGAAATTTTACAACAAATGTTCCAAAAATTGTAGATCTCAAATCGTCTTCCGAACAGATATTTTTCCGAAAATTGTGGTTGGGTGCCCCTGGAAAAACTATATTTAGATGCTTAATCTCCGCATGTGTTACGTGGGTAATCTTTTAGAGGACGGGTAGGTTGCAAACTAAACTGAACGCAGGGTTGTCGGAACAGCAACCAGAAGATTTATTCTAAAAATGAACGCAGTTTCCACGAAGTAAACTCCACAACAGCACGTAACTCGTTAAACTTACACAGCCTCCGCCAACTTCAAATAACTTGATAAACTTACACGGCCTCCGCCGACTTGAATTAACACTGCATCCGTCACACTTGCCTAAACACGACTAACGCCAAACTCTCTTCGCTTGTGAAAACTAGTTAAAACTTAACTCGGACTAGCCTACTCATATACTTTCACAATAACATTCTATAAATTTCCAAATAGTCTAATTATAGAAAGATTACAAAATATATCGCTTTAGAAACGCGTACACAAAATCCTATAATAAACAAACTATATTGAACTCTCGCGAAGCTTCTAGAAAGTCACGCTGGTCACGCAATACAATTTTTCGTAATCTCGTGTCACTCGGTACCAACGGAAATTATAAAGAAGGTAGAGAATTATTCTTGGCCACCGTCTTGGTGTTTAAATTGTCTTGTAGCTAGTGGATCGAAAGTGGCCGGGTTTCGGCAGTTTTCTAAAGTGTGTAGTTCGAAACGTGATTTTGTCCATCGATCCACATTTCATTGTTGTTGTACATTATTACAGCTTTGTATGTTACAGAAATTTGATTTTTATCCGAACTGTCAGGTGAAAAAATGTGAGAGTGTTTTCAGCTCCATAGGTCCAGCAACATTTGATTTGTAAAAATATTCTGCTTACAATGTGTATAGCTGCTGTACATTTAGGCTTGCAATTTTATAATTGAAGGATTGAAGTTTAGATTATTTTGCTCATAAATTTGGCTTGGGATTATACACAAAGAGGTCCTTGTTACTTTCCGCGTTAGGAACTGCACTTGCGTACATGATTTCCCCCATGTACAATTTTTTAGTACTAAATTTTTGTACACAAGGCTTTCTGTGAGGGGTGCTTCTTAGCTTGAAAATTGGATTCTGGAAGGAGATAAACAGGGTAATTTTCCTGTGAATGCTTTTGTTTTTCTGTCCATCGTTTTTGGCTCAATTTTTTTTGGAGCAAAGTCATGAATGAATGACAGAGTTATAACATGCTACTAAGTATTCAAAAGTTCTTTCCAAGAAAAAAAAAATCATCACAAATTAAATTTACAGGGGTTTAAAGTTTGGAGTAAAATTTGAGTCTTAATGAAATTTTAGTTGGATCATGTTGATGAATGCAGTTGTGTAGGATGTGCAGTTTCCAATTTTGATCTTCTGTCAGAATTATGAGAGAACACTCACAGATCTCATTCAAACATTATAGTTTCATTGTAATTATCATTTGTTTTTATTCCTATTAACTTCTCATCAGGTCTACATTTTGCACTGAGTATGAATTTAATGTAATATATATTTGAAGGGGTTGTTGTTTCACAGTGAAGTAGTTTTCATTTTGTTTTTTTGATATGAAGTTCAGTTTCTTCTTAGTTGTTGGCTAAGGCAGTGTTGAAGTATCTGTCATGTTAACATACTTTACTTTTCATTTCTCTTCAGAAAAGATTGATTGATCCTGAATCAAACAAAGTGCAGCCTCACAAACAAGATTTTTTAACGAACAAATGTGTACTCAAGGAAAGCATATGTCCCTGACAGTGTCAGTAAAATTTATTAATGGAAAGATCTGGGTTTTTACTCCTTTGTATCACTTTAGACTGTATGCATCACTTTTTTAACCTTTATATACTAAAAAAATATAATCAGTATTTTTTCGAACTAACACTTGAATCAAAGTTCTCTTCTTTTAAATATAGTATTTCCCTAATTTTAAAAATATCATTTTCTTATTCATATTAAGCACAGTAACCATCGAAAAGAAAAAAAACCTTGCTCGGTCATAAACGGCTTTAAAGTTTTGATATTAAAATTGCACCCGTTCTCAGTGAAAAGACTGAATGCAGACACTAAGGGGCCGACCATTTAACTCTTGAGAGGGGGGGTGGGGATGATTTTGAAAAAAAATTCCCTGCAAGCGCTTGTCGGAAGAAACCAATTGCATGCAGCACAACTGTAATAGAAAGCTTATGGGAAAAAAAGGGAAAAAATATCCTGCACACCAGATTGAGTCGGCCCCTAAAGTTCATTTAACTCATGTTCAAGCTTTTTTTATAAACTGGAAAGTGTTGCTGGAGAAAAAATGTTTTTGCTTTACTTTTTCGATAAAATAATAATAATAATAATAATAATAATAATAATAATAATAATAATAATAGTAATAATAATAATAATAAAATAACTACCAGGTGTCTAAGCAATTTCAAAGGACCCATAGTTTCTTATTTATCTGCTGCATTAAGCTGTGAACAAAGGCCGTTCTTTCTAGTGACCCTGCTTTTTTCAGAAACATTGTTGTCCTTCGTGATCCAAGGTTAAATCCTGTAAACCGGCCAAATGGGGAGCATCGCAGGAAACGAATCCCATAGGAATAGGTAAGAAAGGATAATAAAAAGTCTAGGCTATTCTTAAAATATCCGATATGCATGTGTAACTCATATTAAGCCGCAATTAACCTTCTTTCCACTGGAATAAACAAACTATGGAGGTATTGCCGCCATTTTGAATTTGGCACTGTCACGTGGTCACGCGACGACCAATCAGATATTTTTCGCCGGTCGTCTACATGAATATTCATTGTGTAGTCATTTAAGGACTGTAGGTTCTGCCTCGAGCTAATTAATAACCATAAACTCTGTTTCGGCGACATTGAGACTTAACTTAGCGATCAATATATTTCAGGTCACTATTGATTTGGGACTCAAGATCAGGTATAGCAGCTGCAGAAAAGGTAACATTAGTGTCGTCGGCATACATTCTAGGAAAGCCCACATTCAAACAATTTGGTAGATCATTTATATAGATTAAGAAAAGAGGAGGACCAATTATTGACCCTTGAGGTACGCCACAATTTAGAGGGCTCGCGCTAGATAGATGATTGTTTGCGTTACACCTTTCCATACGGTTAGTTAGGTAAGATTTAAACCACTTCAGGGCGTCTTGATCAACGCCATACTTAGTAAGTTTTTTTAGAATTATCTCGTGGTCAATAGTGTCAAAGGCCTTCTTCAAATCAATAAAGATTTCCTCACACTATACTTTATTTCATGCACATCATTTTGCCATCTCCACCCGCAAATAGCAAAAGCTAGACGAGGCGGGCGGAGAGGAAAGGTTACAGCAGTCATAACAGATAAAAGAATAATTGTAAAGTAACTAAATAAACTATGTGGATAAATAAGAATTACTGAAAAACAAGCTAAAGTTACAAAATATATAGTCTTACAGAATGATATTACAATCAAATTTACTACTACCAGAACCCATCGATTATTAGTACATTCAGTCGAGGATGCAGAATTTGCCATTTTTAGTAGGAGAATGGGCACTTCAACATAATCATCCTCTTCTTCCATTATCGAGAGCAAAAAGTCATGAAAATTTTTTTCAAAAGCTCCTTTGGAGAGTTGACGAAATTCGTTAGGAATTGCGTTCCAAAGTTTAGCTCCAAACCTGGAAAAAGAATCTTGATTTAGATTCAGTCTTGAAGTTTGGACATAATAATTTCCAGACGAAGAAAACCTGGTCTCATGCTTGTGCTCTGAATTAGCTTTAGTGAAGAAACCACAGATGTTAGACGGAGCATTCATGCAGGAAACGTCAAACATTATAGAAGATACTTTTTCAGCATATAACATTTGTAAGGGTAGAATTTTCGAGGAAATAAATAAAGGCACAGCATGGGCTCTAGGTTCAGAAAAGTACGTCAAATGAAGGACTCGTTTTTGAAGCACGAGAATTTTTTGTAAATGGGTTTTGGCAGCTTGACCCCAAGCCGCCAAACCATATGTCACATAAGGCAAGATCAATGATTGATAAATATTTAAAAGGGTTGTACGTGGGACAAAGTTCCTAAGACGGGCAACAACACCAACAGTTCTGCTTATTTTTAATGCAACATTATTAATTTGAAATTTCCAGCTTAAATTGCTGTCCAATAGGACGCCAAGATATTTAACATGGTCTTCGCACTGAAGCGTGGTTACACCATTAAGAAGACCTCTATCAATATTGACACACCAGTTATCGTTTGTCTCCAACAAGGCAGTAAGAGTGCTGTCTATCCTCTTAATGAGGATGAGACGAATGAATACTGAATTTGGCAGGCAATCCCTAATTTTTGGAGGTCTGGTTGTATGGAATGGCCTAAATAACAATACTACAAATCTGGTAAATAAAGATCGATTTAAAAGCGCCTTGAAGCAGCGTAAAGAAATCGATCAAATTAGCTTTCAAAAAGGAACCTGTGTTAACTTAAACAAGAACATTGAAGATTTAATATATTTTTAAACTATTGTTTTATTTGTATATAAATTTATTTATTTGTATATAAATTTATTTGTACAGTTTTGTGATCAGTTTTTAATTATTAGGTAGTAATTATTAGCTGATAGTGATGGATACAGTTTGTAGTTAGTTTTTAATCATTAACAAGATCGCGATCGAGAGAATGATCTTAATAAGGGTCCACATCAGCCAAGTGCTGCCATTTTACTTTTGACCTTTTCAAATACAGTGAAACCTCTATTAAGCGGACTCCCAATTTAGCGGACAACCTCTATTATTATTCATTCAAAATATTTCTCCGATTCTGATTGGCTAAAATCACACGCATAATTTACCATAACCAGCTACTGATGACCAAATTTGGAAGAATTTTGTGTTTAACGAGGAAATGACGTCAAAAATGCAGCGTTCTTGCAGGTTAATGCACCGTTAACCGAGAAGAGCTGGGGACGAGGTTGAGTTGTTTTGGTTGTGAAAACAAAAAATGGCGGACATTTCACTCGTTTCAAGAGGAAAAACTAGGCGAAATAATAGCTAAAAACGTGGCAAGGACAGCAAGAACACAACTGGAAGGGCGGCATCTGCTATTGGAGAATATTTACGGACCTGAGCAACCCTAAACATGCACTATCGAAGGTGAACTTAATATCGATGGAGGTAAGCATGTTTTAGCTTTGTTTTTAAACTAGGAATTATTTTGAATGAAAAATAAAACAATTATTGAATTCGGCTTCCGTATCATATGAAGAATTATGGAGATCTCGGAGGGTGTTATCCAACTTGGCCTACGGCCTCGACGGATAACACCCTCTTCGATCTCCATAATATAATTATTCATAAGATACTCAGCCTCATTCATTAATTGTTAATTAAACGGACACTAAGCCAGGTCCCGAAATTAACGTCTTATATTTCCCGTTATAAGGAACCCCTATCCAGCGGACACCTCTATTAAGCGAACGCGCTAAAATAAGATGTATTCGGCTCATTTCTATTGTTAAAAACCTCTATTAAGCGGACATCGGACTGAATTGACAATAGCAGTATTGGATCACGTCCTTGAAATACGTACTGAAGTCAGTTAATGTTTTTGCATTTAAAAACAAATTAAAGTTGGTAATGAAAGGTAATGAAATTGAACTCTGGATAGCTTCTTTAACAACATGCAACTTTATCACAGTACAGAGTAACTGTTGAATGTTGATCGTTAACAAACATTGCGCAATTTTTACAAACTCTATTAAGCGGACACCCTCTATTAAGCGAACACTTGGGAGGGTCCCGAAGGTGTCCGCTTCATAGAGGTTTCACTGTAAATGATATATGTATGCATGCATGTATGCATGTATGTAACGCAACATCACCTTTAGTCTCACGGTCGTTTTTTGAGCTAATATTATGAATGAAAAATGACAGATAAATAATATAATTTCTTGAAAATTTCTATTTAAAAACCCATAAGTTAATCCTAAAAAGAACTAGTTCGCGTATACACCAACTGGATCGTGAATCTGTTCACGCGAGTTGAATCGGCTAAGCACATGGCAAAAAATAAATTTCAAATGCAGATTTTGTGGAATTTTCTTTCACGCCGATATCGAAATGTAGAAAAAGGCAATGAAACCTTTTTAAATTCAAAAATTCCCTTTTAACAACGTACTTTTCTTTGATCATAGAGTAGAGAATATACCTCAAGTGACTTCTGAAACCTCGCTGCCTTGGTTGGTTCAAAAAAAGCCAAGCGCTCTGATCCGCCGTGTACATAACAACAAGGTTGAATTGCTCGAAAGACAATTGCGAACAGCTTTTGTTTGTCCACAAAATGGAAACTGAGCATTCTTTAAAACTTTCTCTTTCCATTTGTGTCTTTTATCGGCGTAGTTTTCAATCTTGAAACGCAAAACTTTAGTCTTGAAAACCACCACGTGATGACATTTACTAAGGTGTCAAATCCGTTCCTTCCCCCACCCCCTAAATGGTTGACATGACCATTGGACGTTTGTGGGGAAGGGGAGTATGGGTGATTTAGTTTGTGTAAGAATTTCCCAAACCTCTTGCGTTAGAAATGTCTTCCCCGACGTATAACAGTGAAAGATTTTTTTTCAGCATTATACGTCATGAGAGATATTTTTCAGTGCAGAATTCTTGGTTTACACGTGACGTCACCAAAAATCAAACTAAGAAACTATCGATTCTTCTGAGTTTCTACTTTCACGAGGTATTACAGTACCTAAACACCTTTACATAAACAAATTTTTGGTTCGAAAGGGTTCTTCGTTTTGCGAGAGAGGACGCTTGAATTTGCGATTTTTGCGAAATTTGCGGACACCTCGAAGCCCTTCTTGACCTTTTCTCTTTCTAAGTGTCGAATTTTATGAAATTTGTTGTTCTTGCTATTTTTGCCATATTTGTTGCTCAATCTTTTCACATGGCATGAAAAATTTCCTTTACTTTTGCGATTTTTGCGAAATTTGCAGACTTCACGAAACCCTTCTTGGCCTTTTCTCTTTGTAAAAGTAGAATTTTGAAAAATGTGTTATTCCTGCTATTTTTGCCATATTTGTTACTCAATCTTTTCACATGGCAAGAAAAATTCTTCTTACTTTTGCGATTTTTGTGACATTTGCTATTTCTTCTGTATTTTTCTGATAGCAGTTTTTCTTTGCTAGCAAATTTTTGCTAACAAGATCGATCCTGGACATAAGTGTGAATTTCCCGGCTTTTGCGTGACGCGGCATTTAGCTGGCGGCCGGGAAAGCTCTTATGTGGGTTAAAAACGTTACCGATTTTGGGAGATTTTGCAATCTAAATATTCCTTGTCTCAGAGTAAAAAAATTACTGTAATCTTTATGAGTTCCTCAAGCGAAGAATTCACGCATTAGTAGGAAAACTCGAAAACAGATGTTTCTGTTGGTATCTGGCGGCCATATTGGTGTTCCTGAAAGGGACACCAACATGGCCTTTCCATACAAAGCTTTATAAATTTAGGTAAACCGTTTTTCCCAATATCTCGCATTTGAAATATTTCACAAACCTGATTCTTGGCAAGGGTTTTTGTATATTTATCTTTTTTCATTTCCCAGATCTAGTCCTTCTGTATTGAATGGTTTGCGTTTTTATTTTTCATTGCGTGACAGTGCAAGCCGAGAATATTATTTTTCCCAGGAATTTATTTGCATGCTTTTTTTTCTCGAAATCAGTCTGCGGGATATTTTTTCTGAAATCACCCATAACCCCCTCAAAAGTCAAATGGTGGGCTCCTAAAATCCACCAAACTAATCGGCTCCTGACGAAACATTTGGTCAGTTGACAGATTTTGATTCGTCAGTCATTTCTTAAGCCTTTGAAACAATAGGCGACAAACCTCTCAAGGGGAGAGGGGAGGAATTCGTTTCTACTTTCCCCCTACACGGAGAGTCCGTACGGACGGAAGTACGGTGACGGCATAACCAAATTTTCTCAGATGGATAGTTATAGGGATCAGACAAGGATAAAATCACTTTTAAGGAGATTGAAAGATATTAGAATATATGAATGATCTTCGAAAAAATGTATCGAACTCCTTAAAAACATTGTACTGCATTTACAGATTTTCAAACACAAAACTGAGTCATTATCAACTTCTCAACCTCGGGTTATTTACTTAAAATTTTCTTATAATTTCGTAAACTCGATATTCTTTTAAAATGTATTCTTATAGAAAAATAGAGTGTATTAAAAGAAAGGCTTTCAAATTCAGTTATAAAAATTAATTTTACCGTTATTAAGAACTGTCATCGGCAAAACCATTGTTGTCGTCCCATGTTTTATGAAGGCCTGGATTGATACCCATTCATATCCACTATAATTTATAATACCGATGGCGACCTTACGGCTTATGCTGCCA